ATCAAGAAAGGACTTGTATCGCTGAAGTTTTTCGGAAAGAATTTCTACCGGAAATTAACAAACAAGCAGATACGCAACAATAATATTTATTCTGATACAATGCATAAGTCATTAGTATTTTTTACTATTTTTACTATACAGTTTTTTATGTATTCATTTAAAATAAAATTTATGAAAAATTGGTTTTTATATTTTGAGAATGTAGATCATTATTATTTTTTTTTTACATGGCGAAATGTACTCTCAAAAAGGCACTACCTAAATTAAAAGAAATTAAGCTTTAAATTATTTTAATGAATGAAGTGTATTAAGATAAATGGGTAACATTTTTGTTCTGTTGTTAATTTGTGATGATCTTGATAATTTTGGTTTCTAATGTGGATTCACAAAACTTTCATCCTATGTACATTTGAAGAAGTATGCAATGGATCTGTATTTTTTTAGGTATTTTAATTGTATTCTCGTCAAACAAGACATTCATAACAATTGTTTACTTTAAATCTACAGAGATAAATATTCAAACCTTCGATTCTCTTGATCCAGTATTTCGGAATAAAACTCCTGTTAAAACTCAGATAGACTGAGCATAGATCCGTAATAAAACAACTACTGTGATTTTCCGAACATAATACACTCCCGACTAAAATACGCACTCTAATCTTCATTAGCAAAGAGCCGAATTTGCCTTATCGCCATAAATAATATTCACCTAGACTTTGGCAATAATGCAGTCAAAATAACCCCTTGTTGGCAAGAATGTTACAGTAATTGCGTGTTTGCCATAGTGCTTGCTATGTTTGTAATCATGGCCGACAAATAAACATTCTCAAAAATACATTTACAACTGGTGTTCCTTAGTCATGTTCCTCTGCAACAACTTTGCTACAATGGGGTGCATGTAGTTTGTTCTGAAACATTTCCTCTCTGTGTGTATGTAAAGATGGCAGTTTTCATTGTATAAGAACAATCCAAACATTCACCATGAAATCTAAGCCTATCACAACAAAGCTGCATTGGCTGCTTACAGTCAAATACTGACATTTAGTTCAGTGCTTAAAGAGGACAGGGCTGTTTTGATTTCTATTTAAAAATACACCTAACTCATGACAGAAATCCTCTTAACTCTCTCATTATGGGCTTATTCGATTCGACCAATCACGTAACCCCAAATTGCCCTTCAGAGTTTCCATACATAACTTTTAAATATGTTTTGTGTATCTTCACGAAATCTTTCAAGCTTTTGGTAAACGTTACACATTTTTTTTTGTAGACAAAAAATCAGAATTTTGAATTAAGTATTTTAACTAAAATGTTGTCCCTGAATATATGAGCAAGTGTTGACTGCTTCGAATGCGAAGTTATTTTCATGTTAAAATTAAAAATACTTCATCTGAAAAATTTGAACTTTCATTTACATAATATCTAAAACCTCCTAAATAAACATCTAACTTTTTTATTTATTTTATCTGTTGTTTTCTCTATTCTAGCTCTATAACGGGTCCGTCATGGCCAGGTGGTTAGGGCGCTCGACTCTCAATCTGCGGGTCGTGGGTTCGAATCCCCGTTACACCAAACATGCTCGCCCTTTCAGCCGTGGGGGCATTATAATGTGATGGCCAATCCCACTATTCGTGGGTAAAAGAGTAGCCCATGAGTTGGCTAGCTGCCTTCCCTCTAGTCTTACACTGCTAAGTTAGGGACGGCTAGCGTAGATAGCCTTCGTGTAGCTTTGCGCGAAATCCATTACAAACTCTATAACGGGGTCCTATAAATATCATAATTTTTCTGGCTTTTTAACTGTACAATAAGAGCTTTTAAAAATTAAGCTAAGCTTGTCGATGTGATTCCCATGGGGAAGAATTTCAAACTGAACAACGAAACGGACAAGGATCTATACAGAAAACAGCATAAAATAACACGTCATTTTATAGACACAGGATCACACACAAAAGATGCAATGAATTTCTAAAAAAGAATCTCCAAAAATGGCAATGAAAGGTGAAAGAAGAGGTAACTCACCTTTAGTAAACTGGGGTTTGTAGTCCATGAGTGGAATCAATTCTGATAAATGATTCATCACACACAAAATGGTGCAGTTAATTTTATCGCATCTTTGGTGTGTGTGTGATAATATAGTATAAAACGTCAGAGAGAACTATTGGCAATTTGTGAAATAGAGGATGTGGCAAGTAGTTCTTATTTCCTAGTTTATGTCTCCATAAACAAATAAGGTTGAAAGCTATGAAAATCCTGCTTTGCCTGAGTAATATCTATATTATAGTGAGTAATAGCGGAATATAAGGCAGGATTCTTGGTACTGCTGTCTTGAGTTACGCATTTCGACTATTAAAATAGCAGTGAAACAAGCAAATTACACGGTAGCCTTCAAACTTAAGGTGACAG